GAAGGCGACCTGGTGCAGCCAGTACCACACAACAGCAATGCAGAAGCCATACCTTAACACACAGTGTGCAACCATTTGGAAAGATCGTATTTGACGGCCCAGGATGCATAAACATCTCACCCCTGAACCCACAAGAGTACCCCGATATGAACTGCTGCACTTTCCTTTGCGATGGTGTGATGTCAGATTGGGTTGTCAAAGCCGAAGATGACCTTTGCTCCATTAAGTCGGTCTCCAAAGAAGACAGATCTGATACTTGGATGGTCCAGGCACCTATCAAATATGGTAAGGCATCCCGAAGAAGTGATGGAATCGGTATAAATCCCACCATAAAAAACGTTCAGCCAAGACATGATCTGGTCATAGACATAGTACTGGTAGCTTTACAGCCTACAGTCAACATGCTTGACTGAGGGTGCCGATAGTGCAGTGGTTAACGTAGATGCGTCAACTACCGCACGCCTGGGAAACCAGAGGTACGGGGGTTCAAATCCCCGCCGTGCCCGCCCTTCCGCCAGGGTGAGAGGCAGGCGACGCCACATGGCCGCAGCAGCTGAGTGCGTCGTGAAGCCCCAATGACGGCGACATAACTGTGCGTCTGTCATATCCATTTGTGCATTAATTCATTTGCTCTGTAAATATCACTACCCTGGCCCACACGTGATGATGTGCCGTGCCTCAGATGTGGAGGCGCGCTGCGACGGCCAGGCGTCCGTCACTGGCATGGAGTCCTCCCGAATCACGCTCAAGGCCCGCGACTCAGTGACCTTGACTGGGGTCAGGACGGGTCAGGTCACTGTCCAGACAGAAGGGACAGTGTTTGTGAACAAGATGCTGCTGGGAAATGTCTCCTTGGAGGCCAAGGTAAGCCTGGATTTTCCAGGGACGATGCTTTTTAACATGGGTTATTGAAGAACACTAAGCATGTCGTATGCACGCAGTGCACAGCTGACATTGTTTATGCAGCATGATGTTTTCACTCGGTTTAGCACCCCGACAAAAAATCTACTAGCGTTGATGTGAAAATACGCAACTGCGATTGTGTCGTTGCTGTTATCACGTTTTAGTTTCGGCGTGCTATCGCTCTCCGCGATACTAAGCTAACGAAGAAGGGGATGATCCAGTGCAAAAGGCTTTTCCAGTCCAGATCAATGGTACGTTTCTTTGTGAAATGGTGACCGGCTAAACTGTCGTGTATGTGGTAGTCAGACCTGTTATCAGTGACGTAAAGATTCCGCCACCATCTCATTGCGCATTTAACATTTCGTCAAACAATTACATTTGTGATTGGGAACGCGAAGAGGAAAGTGTCGGCCCAGGCCTCTGGAAATGACACTGCTGTAGAAAAAATTACAGGTGAGCAGCTCGCCCCACCTTTGCAGGAGACCTGCACCTCTGCCGTCCTAACCCGATCCGTTGCATTCCCTGTTGATCGGCTCGCGAGCTAGATTACGAAACGGGTTCGGCGCGAAAGTAACCCGGCTGTGGCACCAGTTTAGTGCGCGTGTAATTTGATTGCACGCGTTGAAGATTCTTGACAACTGCGCTTCTCGAACCTGTGTAAGTGAGAATTATAAACCAAAAGCGTCATGCTGAGCTATATCCTTCACTTCACTAAGATGTTTTCTGCATTTTATATTGTCTTGAATTTTCAATAGGCGTTGAATCCGTTGTCGGGGTGATGATTTTTTTGGGAGCCATGACTTTCGTTCCCAATGCTGGGACGCTGACATTAGCGCCACATCCTGCATATTTGCAGCATGCTGAATCCAACGACTGGGATGCACTAACTAACCCGAATGTTTCGCACGCACCAGCGGCGAATTGTGGGAGCCCAGAACGGTGGCGCCACCTGTCCTTAGTGAACTCCACCACCTGGTGGCGGCAGCTTCCTGCGAACGAACTGATCCCCGTTTAGAAGGGCTACGTGCGAGATAGAACTTAATTTTCGTCGAGTCACCGATTCGTCTCATCGATATTTGCATAGTGTTAGACTGAAGGCAGTAAAAAGAAACACGACCAGCTGACCCAATTAAAAATGGGAGCGCCGGCGAATGTCATTTCGCCATCTCTCACGTGATTAATAAAGAGGCGCTACATATATTCTTACCTTACCAGGGTGTTTGTCCTACGTAGGCTTGGATCCAGCCCATGGATCAGACTCCTTTAAACAATTGCCTCCGGGATCCACTCTATCCACCCATGCTGCATTTCTAGGCGTGTTATTTGCTGTCGTGTATTTTCGGATTTTTCCACGCTGTCAATGGAATGTCGGTTAAGGCAACCTATGACGTACACACTTAACACCGATCACAGCACATACCATGCATATACGATGACGCAAAGATCGCTACGGCTGCGGCCGTCCCCCCCCCCCCCTCCCCCTGTTGGGCGGACGCCGCCGAGGCTGCTCCACTACCTAGCAGCACGTCTCACCCCCGGGAGCGCGTGGTCAGCGGAGTGCGTCCGTCCGGCCGTTGGCAGGACGTGCAGTCGGACGGCGCGCGGCTGCAGGGCCAGACGGTGCGCGTCTTGACGCGACGCTGCTGCCGCCTGTCGGACATCTACGCAGACTCGGCCGAGCTGGAGGCTGGCGCGGCCGACCTGCGGGTGGGCACCGTGCACGCGGACGCGACCGTCCGAGCCGCCGGCGACGGCGAACTGGTCATAGGTGGGTGTCGGGCGGCGGGGAGGCGGGGCGAGTCAGGTCAGCGGACAGGCCCTGCACCTCAGGTTTGGTCAGCAGTGAGAATTGAGTGCCAGAGTGCAAGTGTGAGTGGCACAGTTCAGGGAAGCAGTGTGGTGTAGGGTAGGGTAACACGGGTAGGGTCGGGGATGAGTGCGCTAGGCCAGGGGAGTACCACTTACCAGGTCACGGGTGTGGGTGCTTCAGGACAGCTGATCAATGGAGACCACAGCTTAGGTCAGGGGCAGGCACCAAAGATCAGCTCATGATGGGCACCATGGATCAGGCTGGGGAGGTACCATAGGTCCAGTAGCAGTTATACACAGACACAGTCTCATCCCCTGTATTCAGTGCATAGGCTCATGTGTGCATGTGCTATGTGTGTGCAGTAAGTGTGTCTGTGCCCAGTATGCGTGAATAACCCACCTCAGTGTTCATCCTGTACACGACAGGCGTGTGAACACCACTTCAATGTTTGGACAAAATGAACACCTCACACGACATGCAGTTTGAACAGCTCGCCTCAGTGTGTATCCCTTTACGCGTCAGGCGGTGTGAACAGCCTGCCTCAGTGCTTATCCCTTTACACGGCAGGGGGCGTGAACAGCCCACCTCAGTGTGTATCCCTTTACACGGCAGGCGGCGTTAACAGCTCGCTTCAGTGTTTATCCCTCCACACAGCAGGCGGCGTGAACAGCTCGCATCAGTTTTTATCCCTTTACACGGCAGGTGGTGTGAACAGCTCGCCTCAGTGTGTATCCCTGTACACGGCAGGCGGTGTGAACAGCTCGCCTCAGTGTTTATCCCTGTACACAGCAGGCGGTGTGAACAGCTCGCTTCAGTGTGTATCCCTTTACACGGCAGGCGGTGTGAACAGCTCGCCTCAGTGTTTATCCCTTTACACGGCAGGCGGTGTGAACAGCTCGCCTCAGTGTGTATCCCTGTACACGGCAGGCGGTGTGAACGGCTCGCTGCAGCTGGACGCGCCGGCGGCGGCCGTCCGCTGCCACGTGGACCAGCTGTCGGCCGACTCTCGGATCAGCTGCGGCGGCCGGCTGCGGCTGACGCTGTCGCCGAGCGTCGCCCTCCGGCTGGAGGTGCACGGCCCGGCGCCGGCGCTCGACCCCCGCCTCGGGCCGGCCCGCAGCGCGGCGGCCGACCGGCACGCGCTGGCCGTGGGTGCCGAGGCCGGCGCCGCGCCGCGCCTGCTGCTCGCCTCGCCGCTCGCAGCCGACGTGCGGGTCAGAGAGTGGGCCGCCGCCGTTGCCGGCTGGTCCTGAGAGACGGCGCGACCCAAGCGCTCGGCGCCGATCTAGGACACCGCTCCTGGTGTAGGCACCTGGTGTTGGACGTGCGTTCATGTCGTTTGACATTTAGACAAGAAGGTTGGTCTTGTCCCGGGCGGACGTCCTGGCCTACCCCTAGTCTGTTAGACGAGAGTCATTTCACTGCGCTTGGTACCCTACCTGTTCATTTGTCATGCTCCTCGCGTGCGTCCGGGACGGGCTGCTCGTTTTAGGGCCCGTCTTATTATTATGGTTATGCCTGTGCGGTAGCGCTGGTTCGATTCTGTGCCACGAGCGCGTGGCCAGAACTCACGGTGGGCACGCTGGGATAGCGACAATGATTTGCAGCTATTTGTGCGACGTAGAGCCCATTCTATTTGCACACCTGGCACACATGCCATGCTTGGCGAAATCTCAGGGAATGTGGTCTTGCTGGCATGCGATCGTGCGGTCCAAGGCTTTTGTTCAACCGCGTGAATGGCAGTTGGATGTCGATACAATACGTTCGTCGGAGGAAGCTTGTCTGTTCTCAGTCTGTGGCTACACAACTGAGTGTGCGGAGGGATTTTTACAGCTGAATAGCGGATTTCTGCACGCTATATTGCGTGAGCATTTTCCACGATGGGGAAAATGCACACCAATGTGGTGACACTTAGCTCAGCTCCACCGCCCATCGCAAGCCCTATAACAACTGCGCACAACGCATATTCGTGGAGATAATCTGAGCAACGCACGTAATCTAATTGCGATGCATGGATGTGTCTTGCATCTTACAAAAAAGCTGTCGCGGACTGACAGCTGTGGCACGGCTGCTCAGTCCCTTAGCTCCTCACGCCACGCCTGTTACCAATGCTTCCGACAACCCCTTCGGAGCTCGCCCATGCCTCTCGACTCATCAATACCAGATTCCACACAACGAATCACAGCCCAATGTGACCGGCTGCACTCATCCCACCCGCATAGTTCTCATGCATCCTTCCTGCCGCCTGCCCTCATTCGAAAGCGCACAAATAAAGCACGTGCGCGAGGCAAATGTATTTAATTGAATACAATCTAGTCGCTCACAAAGCACGATCGCAATTTACGGTTCTCTTTGCATCACATCACACGGCACAGTAAAATCGCGATCGCCATGAAATGCAATCGCCACGATCGCTATCGCCAATCGTGTGCGCTTCAATGACACCGACATATCTGGACAATTCGGAGGGGCTGACCACCGCTATCTAGTGCCCTGGTTATCAAGGATGGACTAACGTGTTAACATTATTCACACGCCAGCGCATCATAGTCGGACAGCAGCTACCCATAACCCCGGTCGTTCCCGCACACGAGCACCTCTTGAAAGACGCGACGGCGGGCCTCAGGTCGTACCGCCTTGGTGTCATGCGGCGACAGCTGCGTGCTCGATCAGCATGTCTCAGATTCCAGTTCTGACTTGCATTTACCACAGACTAACAGCGACGCCAGGACCCGGTGGACTCAGGGCCGCGGCCCGCTTTCGCACCTGATCAGATAATTAGCGCTGGCTTCACCGTGATGCATGGGAACGAACTTGGTTCGAAGAGGATGTCTCCTGGCACTACAGCTTTGCTAATTGCCACGCCCCCGTCGAATTAAGTGCTGCTTACCACATTGTACTTCAGTCGCGCAAGAAACAATGATACAGAACAGAAACGCAAGGAAACGAAAGGTCATAGTATGTCGTAGTCGGAGCATATTTAGAATAGCAGCATGGCCTGAGGGCCTGTAAATATCAGAGACTTGCATCAGCTAACAATTTTCCTCACCATGGACTCTCCCACTGAAGAAACCATGATCGCACGTACGAAACAGGAAAAAGACACCGTTAACCGCCGGCGTCAATTGAACGCCGTAACGAAGATACATCCCGCTACAAACCATGTGGCGCAACTATAAAGCCTCCATTGCTGACGGGGTGATTAAAGCTCAGCTCAGCGAGGTCTGCTTCGCCCTCCTTCCGCTCACGGCCGTCAGCTCCGCAGCAGCTCGGGCCGCTGGCGCAGCACGCGCGCCCGGTGCTGCTCGCTGAGCACGGCGGACAGCGCCGGCGCAACGGCGCGCTCCACGTGCTGGCGCCAGCGACGCAGCCGGTCGCGCTGGCGCTGCAGGTCGAGCAGGTCGCTGCCGATGGCGCGGTCGTACTCGGGCGCCGCGTGCACCTCGGCCATCGCCTCGCCGGATCTGAAGCGCACCTGGCGGCGGGCGCGGAATTGTCAGCGGGCGCAGACCACCGCCATGCGCGCGGGCGGGACACGCCAGAGGCGGAAGCTGTGTCAGGGAATGTGGCTGAGTCGGGAGAGTCGGGACGGTGCCAGCACCGCGCTAGAGATAAAGGACGCCTACGGATAGGGCTGGACGTTATTACAAACGTGTACCGAGACCCAGGGACGTCAGCCGAGCCTGGCAAGAAGCGGGAGTCGCAGACGGCTGGGTCTGGGGTCCCAACTAAAGGCGCGGAAGGAACGTTAAGTAAGCGCGGAACGAACTGTCTGCGACGTAACCTGCGCCCGAGATTACTGTCAACATATAGGAAATATCAGTACGAGCCAGGCCTGGGATCACTGAGGACATGTCAAAGCAACCAGTGCTGGCACAAAGAGCTGAGGAGCAACAGTCAACAGTGGTCAAAAGTAGAGCTTAAGAGTAGAGCTTGGCAGAGCATAACCCTCGTGGACATGACCCAAGACACCGCTGCGGGACAAGTCGACACCATGATTATCCTGAATCGCGTGACGAGTCATATACGCGGCATCCCGAAACTGGACGGGGCCACAGCATCCACCCTTCCCTCCGCTCTCACCCCGCCCGCAATGACACGCATTCAATATCACAACACGAGGCCGAACGTTCGACCCAAAACAGTCGCCGCGCCACGCTTCTGTGATTCCCGCCCACCTTTCAGACATTCCTGAAAGTGGCCGGGCCATGTAACGGTGGGAAAATGGATGACTAACGGCGGCGCGTGACACACCGGCTGCTGAATGTCCTTAATGGCCCGTCATCCGGTGCAGAGCTGTTGGGTAGCATCAAGGTCGCACGGTGGGGGAAAAGTCGATCACTTTCGGACGGACTGACAGCATTACACGCGATTAAAATGGTCGGAGCGAGGTCAGGACCCTCAAACAATGTCACGGCACGCAAGGCAGGCGCCACAAAAACGCGTGGGAACGGAAGACAGCCACGACGTCGCCAGCTGGCGCACGCCTTAAGCACAGACCAGCATCGCCCCATCCGCCCCCTCCGTTTCCAGTAAGCGGACAAAGACCCACGTCCAGCCCGGGAGCCTTGAGCCTGAGGCCGTGGACGTACCCTGCTGGTGCGGGGGCCGGCGGGGGGCGCGGCCGGCGCCAGTCGCAGCTTGCGGTTGGCCTCGGCGATGCGCTGGTGGGTGGGGCAGACGTGGGACGGCGCGCGCGGGCACGCGTCGCAGAGGTCGGGCACCGCCGGCGCCGGCGTCCGCTGGTAGTTTAGACTCATCGGCGACACCTGTTGGACGATGCAGAGATGGTGAGCGGAGGGAACAGGCCCGGGGCCGGAGCGGGTCACCGTGTCCCGAGCGAGAGTCGACACTGGGGCGAGCATAGCTATCATGAACACGGCGCCCCGCACAGATCCAACTGCCAGCGCGTACTGAGTTCTGGCTGCCATGCGTTCAGAGTATTCGTTTCTCCGTGTACTGGTGCAGAGGCCAGCAGACTTGGAAGCAGCGAGCGCCAGTAAATGTCGGTAATACTCTGGCATGCCTACGAACAGTAAACAGAATAACATTTATGGCCGGGAGTGCCATGACACAAATAAGCCCTCCAAGAGCCGTGGCAAATGTTCACAGAACGGTCACAACGCCCTGCTTGTGACTCCTCCCCCATCGCACGACAAACCGACCCCAGACCCCAGCACAAACCAGGCCGACCTCCGGGCCCGGCCACTACGAAACTGGTTCGAGCCTGGTGATCCTCGGCTGCAAGCGTCCGGCGATGGCGAACACTCACGGAGAGTTTGCGCCAGAGGTCGACGTCGAACTCGCATCCTTCGTCAGAGGCGCCCTCATCGTCGCTGAAGCTGCCGTCGGCCCACAGTCCGGCCTCGTCTTCGCTGGCGTCGGCCCCGGGCGAGATGCCCGAGTCGACCTGGTCCGAACCCACCGCCGCCAACACTGCCGACACGGCGGCCCATCAGTCGGCGACAACGAACACAGCGTGACATTCTGGCATAATGCCACCATGTGTACCGAATGGAGAAAAAAATCGGACATAATATGGCAGGATGACGGGATTAGTTTCAGATCACTTCTCCAGAAGATTCGTGGGACACTCAGCGATGCATCAGTGATTCTTACCTAGGCAACCCACATCGGATCGAAGGCATACCAATCTGATCCCAAGTTCACTACAGAGTTGATGGACGCTCCACACAGGCCTGTCCAGCGCCTACCGGGTGGCTGGGAGACACTGGCGGCCAACGCTGGCCGGTCGCTGTCCTCCGATGCGCAGCCGTTGGAGGAGGAAGCGTCGTCACGGGAGAAGCAGATGAAGTCGTCGGCGGACTCAGCCGAGGCGCTGGGAACCAAGCCGGCTGGCGACGCGGCGTCCCAGGCGAAGCAGATGAAGTCGTCGACCGAGTCCACCGAGCTGCACGGCAGCAGCGCGACGGAGGACGCGTCGTCCTCGCCGGCGTCCGCCGCCGAGTCGTCCTCAGTGGACCAGTCCGAGTCGTCGCCGTACTCCGATTCGCGACTGGACTGCGTCGACGACGAACGCTGCCGCCAGCGCGCGCCACTCTGCGAGTCGTCGGCGGAAGGGGTCGACGATGAGCGTCGCCGCCGGGGGACACACGCCTCCGACTCGGGGCTGAGCGGCGAAGAGGGCTCGCGGCCGGCGGCCGGGCGGGAGACCGCGGCGTCGACCCGCTCCGACACGGCGATGGTCTTCGGACTCGGGCGCTCGGCACGACACCGGACTGGCGAGCCGTGGGGGCGTGCGTTCGCCGGGTCGACACTGGCATCGGGAGACGACGCGGTGGGCGACGCCACACTACGCGGAGTACTTTCACCGTTAATCGCGGGAGAAAACTCACTGAGGCGATTCACTTCAGCGTCCGGTCGCGCGTTCACTGGCCCACTACATGAATGACTCGCCGCTGGGTGCTGCGACGAGTCCGAGTCGGAGGCGTGTGTCGGAGGTGAAGGAGCACAGCCAGCAGAAAACGAATCGTCCGCCGGCGGACAGACTGAAAGGCCGCATGGCGTCATAAGAGGCGGCGACACGACCGGAACCACGCACTGGCGACCGGCCACGTCCCGCTTTGTGCCCACCGTCTCACCACACAGAGTCCCTGCACAGACGTGACGTGAGGTGATGATGTTAGCACACTTCGCTGCTTTCTGGCTCTGCGCCGGCTCCCCGGGCGTTTCCGACATGTTAGACCGCCCAGACACGACACTTTGAGACTGACTGGCTTCACCGTCGCGCTCTGTGACGGCCGTGACCCTCTGTGGGGTGCTGTCATGTGGCACACCGTCCGGCGGCGGCCCCCCGCTGACCTCTCTGGAGTTCCCACAGGCACGGGACATGAAAGGCTTCTCTGCACTATGCGAGTAACGTGGCGTCTTTGCTGGGCGTGTACCACATGTGCCCTCTGCAAACCACTCAATCGGAACTCCGAAACCGCTGAGGATCAAGCGTCTCTGGACATTGCCCATGTTCAGATCCCGTCGGGGAATGAACTCCTTCGCATTTGGATTCAGTGGATGGCCATTAATCTTGATGCTCCAACAGTCCTTGCAGTTCTTCATCGATGGTTTAATGCCTCCTTGTCCAGGTTGATAAAAGCAAGCCTGAATATGTGGTAATGGCTTCACAAGCATGAGCCTTTCAGTTGCAGGACTCATTTCTTTCATGGTGTAAGCACTCAGAAAGTCATGATGACTACAGATACTTGCTGAAAGATAAAACCGTGTCAGTTCCTCATCATAATTACATAATCTATCATGCAACAAAGTTGGGACTCATTATTGGTGATGCCAGACTACAGTTTAAACAATTCAGATGCCATCAAAATATCTGTTTTTAATTCTACAGCATACTTATAGGCATGTGAACTAGATTCAGCCCACCATAGAATACAATTTGGACTATCATACTGCTGATGAGCAGGGTCAGTGCAAATGTAAGTTGACTGTAAATTGTACTGTAAATCCTGTGTGCCACTTCCCTTTATGCCTAAACTGTGACTAACAAAGGGCAAAGTAGATAGTCCCACTTGTTTTGAATTGCAACATTAAATGTTTGCAATAATTCACCATCATTAACCATGTTTCAAAAACACATTGTTCCATTATCATATCAAGCACTACTCAGTTACATAATATCTAGATGTGCTTCCGCATGCTTAGAAAACATACTCATGATGATCAACAACTTAGAAAGTCATCAGTATTTGAGAACCTAGGTATGCAATTCAGTGTTAGAAAACTTGATGTTTCCTGGTATAATGTATACCAGGAGAAGCTTAAAAAATACAGTATGTGCAAGCATAGACATAGGAAGGAAGCACTTACTCAGGAAACTACAAAATCTAAAAATTGCAAGAAGCCAACTTCTTATGGTATTTGGCAATCACTGAGACCAGCTAGAGCATGGTGTTAACTGTTGTCTGCTGCCAAAGAATGTCCTGTGAGTGTAGTGCAAACTCACTTGGGTTTTTCATTCTCACTACAAGCTGCAATTTTAATATTTTTGTCCTCTCCCCCCAAGAGCCAAAACCAAATTTCAGATACTGGCTGCAGGTCATTACAGTTTCATTTTCATATACTATATATTTGTGGAGAAAAAATGTCTTGGGGCTAAAAACACTAAGAAAGACCCAAGTTTCAGACAATGCCTGCAGCACTTGGATAATTTTATACTCCACTATTTAACAGTGTTGTAAGACTTGTTTCCTGGTATAATGTATACCAGGAGATTTTGTACCTGAAGATTGTGACAAGGTAAAATCAAATATTTTGTACTCCATCATGATGCACCAAGAACAGCTTTTGGAAAAACTCATTTTACCTTTGCGTCTGGACAAAATAAAACCAGGTGTGGCAGCTTGAGACTTGCTGCTTCCATCAGGAGTCATGTATTAATATCTGCAAGAGCACAAATCTTGCATCCCCCAGACTAAGATGTCCAACAGCAAGCAGCCTGCGTTGCCACCTAGGTATATGATAAACCATGTATGGAAATGTGAAAAAGAAAGCATGTGAATGTTGAATGGAATCTCCTTTGAACAATACAGGGAAATGAGAGAGGAGTATCAGAATCACTCTGGTCTGTAGATTAGCAAAGCTCCAGTCAGCTGGTGGAGCGTGAGTAGCATGACCACCTGGTGCATGAGTAGGTGGGCATTTGTGGCCTGTTCATTTGCATTTTTGTGCACCATTTTTGTCTGGCTGTGTGTATCATACTCACCCTCTATTTTGGAGGGTGTATAAGTAGTGGTGTGTACCCACCCCCGCTTTTAGTGTATAACCCTGATGCTTAATTACCCTGTGTTTTGGAGGGTGTATACACAGCTTTTCATAGATTGCAAACCAATGTACACTGCACATGTGTTTCATAGTACAGAGTATGAGACTGTGTTGTTTCAGTGGGCCATGTTTAATACTGATGCTTCCTTCCACTTAAAGTGCTTTTACATGAATTGCTATGTATGAAAAGTGGCACTTTTGTTGAGTGCCACCCATTGCACTATTAACTCTTGAAGATAACCTGAATAAAGCTGTAATCACCTGCAGTACTTGGATAATTTCATACTCCAATATAGAAAATTTGCACTCTGCTGCCAGGAAATTTTTTGAATTTCCAACACTGCCACTATAGAACATTTTTACTCCGCTACCAGGAAGTGTTTTGGAATTTCCAACACTGGTATGCATCCACCACAGCTGTTTGTAATTTGTATTTTAAAGAGCATCCATCTTACTTCAAATAGGTTACATGGTTTGTTTAACTTACCGACCTTATTCATAACATTATAGCCAGAAGCAGCATGTCCAGCTTGATGCTCAACTTATGCCAGTGAACACAAATCAATTCACTGTGCTGGACAGGACACCCAAATAACATTGGTGTGCCAAACATCTTACCTGTATGTGCCAAACTAAGGCTTGGGCAGCTAAAGCTGCACTATGAAGTTATAAATGTCAATTTTTCTCAAGATACCTTTACCTGCATTTCTCACCAGTATTATGCTTTCAAACATCAGCTGACTAGCCACCATGCTCATGCTCTGCTATAGCAACAGCTGTGTGCCAGAGGTAGCACTAATGTTTACAGCCCAGATGCACTGAAAAGGTTGAAACAATGGGGCTACTATGCTGGACAAGTCAAACATATGCATTATGTAGCACCAACCCAAAGCAGCAGGAAGTGACAGCAGCCCAAACATCTCATCAGCATTGCTGCTCCTGTTTGTAGTCATGTGGGCAGACTACTTGAAATGAGGATAAAATTAAACCTATGACATCAAAAGTGAAGAAGAGAGGCAAAGCCAGATCTTGCTCAGTTCTACATCACGGGGATCTACCCACCCCGTGACCCCAACGTGGTTTGTTTGCAACCAATTTTAACATGCGACCACCATAGGTCGACGAACATGATACAGTCAAACCAGCCTATCACATGTTTTTTTTTTTGGCCTGAGTTGACGAAAACGTCACCCAACGATCGTCCGCGGGTAAAATCATGTGCTGGGCGGGTAGCTCACACTCAGTGTAATAAGGAGTACGTCCCCAGAAATTTCAATACCAGCCGACAAACCTCTAAAACCAAGACTTTACCTCCAGGACGAGCCTGAATCCGTTCTTTCCACACACTGCACATCTGAACACTTGCCGACAGCTGTGATTCATTCTCGACAGTGCTCAATTTGTTTGGATATCGCTTCGGTAATGCACGTCAGTTTTCAAAATGGCTGACGCTACTAGAAGTTGCCCATTATCTTTCAAAAGGCGTACGTAAAATATTACGAGTTTACTATATGTGAGGCGCAAATGTAAGAAAAATATAAACGTGATAATATTATTTTATTTCAAAACATTGCTCTTAATCTTTTATCGCATTCAGAATGTTTAACTACCCTTCGATCACGCATGAGCGGATGACAAGCATTGAGCTAGTGAGATAGTTGCATGCTTAGTGGACAGTTTCAAAAAGCTTCGTTTCTATCGTTAGAACTATTTTAATAAGAAGACCTCATACCTTGTTCGAGGTTTTATATCAGCTACACAATTTATCCAACTATTTGTCCAGCATGAATTGAAGTCAAACTGGCGCTATTGCGACAAGCAAGTATAAGTTGTTTCGGAGAAGTTGGGTTTTCTTGGTCACCAAAATATTTTGTTACCCAGTATCGATGTTAACAGTAAGGGTGTGCCCGTCTGAATTATCATGATGTCCCTGCAGTAAATCGTCATTATCCATACTCAGCTCTGCTCTCAGTGTTGCGTCATGCACGCCACGTCCCGTCTCTGACGCGATAGACAAAGGTCGAGCGATAAAGCCAAGGCTAACGGATAGAGCTAAGGTTCGTTTGCGTCAGCAATGCATATCATAGCTCAACAAAATTTCCAACTATTGATCTTCGACATCAACACTTCCAGCTTGAAGGGAGTCCTTTCTCGCAGTTGGGGCTTATTTTTAAAATTGTGAAATCTCTGGAATCGTCGCAACGCCACGTGCGTAATCACTAGCTCGTCATGATGCATTAGGTGTCGCGAAACGTTAAGTGTTATGGTACCTTAGGGGTTGTGAAGCATATTTTTCATGGATGTCAATTTCTCAAAATGATGGGGAGGGGGTTTAGTCGCGAAAGTCGTCAGAGGGGGAGTGGGGCAGGTACGAAACACCTCAGGTTTGTTGACTGATAATCTGGGTTTTCAATATGTACATGTAACTTATAACTTACAATAGTTACATCTTCTTTAAACTTAACGTGCAGAGCCATCATAGACCATTCGCAACATATGTGGCTATCATGACAGCTTTACACGAAGCTTGTCGACAAACCAAAGTTTTATGGATGCAACATATGCATTTCACTTTGCTTAAAAGGAAGTATGAACGGTCCTCCATGCGCCAGTTACGACAATGGTCCTCAATATTTCCGCAAATGGCTCAAGTAGATGTCTGATGAGAATGTCTTCCCTGCTCATTTCATTACATATGCTTTGCAAGCTCGCTGTGTTTCTGGGGAACATTGTTCCAAGCCTTTTTGCGCCTCTGAATAGGAAAGCGACCCTTAGCCGCTTCAGTTCGAACGTGTGGCAAATGAAGTCAGGTAATGTCAGTGCCATGCACAGGGCAGGTTGAGTATAAAATTGCTGCTAGTTGATCTGGTTTTTCAGTGGCCACATGTGACTATGCTGATGTACCCATAATGGTGCACAATGAGCTTGCCCACGCAGATGCGCAACCGGGATCTTGGTAAGTGGAGGGGCACAGGACTGACGAAGGACCCCTTTTGGTGGAAGGCTCCCCAACCAAAATATTACCAGATATGACCCACGTGATTTCAGACAACACCATTTGCTCCGCTTTGTTTGAACATATCCTTGTTTTACTCAAACAAGTTAGGAGGCACCGAAAGATGTCATTTTGTTGGTATTTTGAAGTCAATAACCTGAAGAAGCCGGGCCTTGAATGACTACATAGAAAAAGCACCGTCGCTTTTCATTTTGTAATTGTTCAGTGGACTTTTTTGGGCGATAGCACTCACTCACTAAACATCCGCTGCGTTCATCACTCGCTGCTCCCTGACCGACAGAGGCCCGCATTGTCCCAGGGTATTCATATCGGTCGAGGCCCTCTGACTGATATTTGAAGGTCCGACCATGCGGGACGGATCCTTAACGTGACCAACGGGATTTTTGGGACCCCACGGACACTACTTCTTGCCAATTTGGGCCCATTGCCAATACATGACCCGTGCCAGACGCTGAAATTTCTGGACTGACGCAGGGGGTCCCACATTGACTCAGGGGCTCGGTCGATGTAAATCGCGGGCCCATCCCCATCTCTGCCTGGGAAATGGGCAGGTGTCCCAGACCAGACTCTGGATTAATCTGGTGGCGAATGCACTGTATTTGAATTACGATTCGAATACTAAGTGCTACGGTGCAGTGCGACGGTACAATCAAACGTTACAGAATCGACAGGACTAATCAACCGACCCCCGTCCGCGCTCCTTCGCGCCACCCAGCTGGCCGCCGCCGCCTCCGCCGCCGTCAGCGCCGGCAACAATACATATGCTGCACAGCTCGTGCGGCTCTCGTGCCTCTACGCGCTGGGCACCTCCGTCCCGCGCGGCCGCAGAACACCCCCCGCCCCCCTGATTCTCATGGCTCACGACAGCGCATTACGGATCGTTACGACAATGGCGCCGCGGGGCCCTCCGCCGGCGGGTGCTCCGGCGCAGTGGCACCAGCTCGTTCCTGACCGGCCCAACCGCACGGTCTGCAGGCTCAGGCGCATCTGCAGCCGCGCGAGCACCGTCCTCCGTCTCCGGTTCGCGGTCCACACACGACACGTACGTTGGCGGCCCATCGTCGGCACTGTCACTGTCTCCGTCGCCGTCTTCGCCTCCTCCGTACCGAGGCCGAACGTCTCTCACGTGCCACGGCACTCCGTTCACCTCTACCACCTGCCGCGACACCACGCCCGTCACTGTCCCGCGACGCGACATTTCCGTGCAACGCGTTCCTCGGCGACGCATGAACACTCGGTCCCCAACTCTGAGATGCGCACCGTCAGACACGGGTGGGCGTGGTTCCCCAGCCTCAGCGGCGCCCGCCGGCACCGGCCGGACACAATCCCGAACATATTACCGATATACTCCCGACGCTGGCGCGGATTCCCCATCCCATCCTCATTTCATGCTGTTCCCCATCGCGGGAGGTCACATTATAAAGGGGGACCGCCTCGGCCACAGTACGACACCTCGCAGTGATGACCTTAACGGTCCGGTGGCAGCGTTCTACCACTCCATTGCCACCCGGCTCGTGAACAGCTCGGAACCTCATGGTCACTCTCCATCGCGCCGCGAGAGTGGCCACCTGGCGGCCACGAAACACAGTCATTATCAGCCAAAACCTCCTCCGGAGCCCCACGTTCGAGAAACAGCTGATCTTGGTGACCGATGACCTCGGCGGCACCGGTGCGGCGCAGGGGGCGCTACACGCGGAAGCGGGATGGTCCGCAGTCGATGGTGGTGAGGTAGCTCTGTCCGTTGTGGTGGGTGGTGTCAATGGTGATTCGCTGCCACGTGGCAGCCACGCCGAGCGAGCCGTGTCGCCACCGCACCGGCGCTGGGTCGATCGAGCGGCACGCATCACAGCTCTCCACCACCGCACGTGCTACGGCTCGCGTGACGTCACGCGACATGTCACGGCGTGCGAAGTACAGCGTTCGACGGACCCCTGGGTGCTCCGCCCGCTCGTGCGACTCCCGCACTGATGCATCAAGCACGTTCACCGCGCCACCGGCGGCATGCGCCGCGTTATTACCGGGCGGCGGCGGCCCGCCCACGGTCGCCGCGCTGACGCCCGGCGGCGGCGGCTCGCCCGCCATCGCCGCGGTGACGTCCGGCGGTGGCACCTCGCCTACAGGAGTCGCACTCGCAACACGGAACCACTCCGAACCACTTCGTACATAAGATAATTTTGATCCTTTTTACCAAATATTTGATAACTTACGGCCCATCGCGCGCAGACCAGAACGGCGCATACACGCTTGCCTTATTATTGCACTTCTTTGCACTTCTTACCTTATTATTGGACTTCCAATTCATTTCCAGTCGTGTAACTTAAACTGATATTTCCAAACAGACAACACAGAGAAAGAACTAACAATGTCGGCTGAACTGAAGCATTTCCAGCATTCTTAAAAAAAACGGACCAAGCTACGGGAACGGAACACCGAAGCCCAGCAAACGTTTTTGGTACGGTATATTTACGTCTATTAACGCAGTGCACCTCATACACGGGTCTGGATACTGTGATTCACACTTGTTAAAACCAAACTCAGCGTGATGACAATGTCGCTTAAGCCACAACACTTCAGTTCAATAAATATGACTACTCCGTTGCCGTGAGATGCTGCCATCATGTCGTGCGGAGGGACTGTCGTAGCACCCTCTTAAAGTGGTGCACCTCTTGTACAAGTCCAACGAGCGAGGCCTGAAATCACCCTGACATCCGAAGACATACTCTGCCGAGATAATATGCCAACAGCAATCCTAAGGAAGTTGACCAAGCCCGGTAACCGGAGACTGAAGCGAGACCAGTGTTTTCGGTACGGTACATAGACGTCTATTAGCGTAGTGCACCTCACACACGAGTCCGGATAATGCGATTCACACTTATTAGAACTAAATACATCGTGCTGACAATTTCGGTTAAGCTGCAAGACTCCGGTCCGATGAATAAGACTCATGCATTGCCGTGAGATGCTGCCATCATGTGCGGACAGGCTGCAGTAGCAGCCTCTTAAAGTAGTACACTTCTTGTATAATTCTGATTGGCGAGACCTAAAAACCGCTCTGATATGCAGACACACCCTGCCGAGATAACATGCCGACACGAACCACAAGGAAAGAAGCCAAGCCCGGGAACCGAAGACCGAAGCAAAGGTAACGCTTTCGGTACGGTACATATACGTTTATTCGTGCGGGGCACCTGGAACAAGAGTCCTTGTAATGCGATTCACAGGGGGCAGGGGCGACCGCTGCGGGCTGCCCGTTCCACGCGGCGGCGGCACGGCAGGGAAAACGCCGTTGGGTGGCGCTCAGTCGGGCGCGCAGCAGATGTAGCGAGTCGACACCGCCCAAAACAGCCCGAGTTTGAAGTTGGGAGGGCATCGCGCATGTCACGAATAGAGCACGCATTGTACTAGGCCATTCGGGGACGTGCAGCGC